TGGAGTTATCCAGCTGCGTCTGGCTTAGGTCTGGCTGCTGTGCTCAGCTCCTTCCTGCTGCAGACCTGGGCTAGGACTGGGTCTGAGGGTTCCCGGAAATCGGCAGCAATTCCGGACCTGGGCTAGGACTGGGTCTGGAGGCTCCCGGAACTCGGCAGAAAATCCTACTCGGCGGGCGGGGTGGGGGAGGCACTCTGAGTTTCTTTCTAGTTCTCGTACTTGAACATAGTACAGCATGAAGGCAAACATCAGGGTTTGATCACCTCATTTTTCCTGCACTGTATTTTGCACACATTGAGCACATGGTCCATTGCCAAGATTTCTTTCACACCTTTAAAGCCTCTGAGACACGTTTTCTTCCTGTTGCTTCATGCCCCCAACCTGTGAATAGTTACTGGAGGTTTCAGTCCATACTCAGCTGGGTCCAACGCAGAGCAGCACAGAGCACAAAGCAACCTTTCATGGTGGTGGCAAAGAGCAAGAGCGCAAGCTGGGTTGTCTTTTTGTTTAGTTAGGAGTACTTTATATACTGTGAAAGGTAGATCCTTATTAGTTATATAATTTGTAAACTTCTTTTTCATTCTGTGGGTTATCTCTCTACTTGTTAATGTCCTTTGACTCACAAAGGTTTTTAATTTTGTTGAAGTCCAATTTAGTTTTCTTCCATTGCTGATGCTTTTGATATTACTTGTAGCAAACTGCTCTCAAAGCCAAGATTAGGCAGACTTATGACCATGCTTGCTTTCTTGTTTTTTAACGTATTTAGTACAGGCTCTCACTCTGACTCATAGTGATCCTCCTGTTTTCAGACTCCCCAGAGCTGGAATTACAAGGGTGCACCACCACACCCAGTCTCCATGATGGTTCAGCACATCCTGGAGGCAGGGCTGTCAGGCATGTGGTGCTGGGATCGAACCCCGGTCCCCGGGCTTGCCTAAGTAGGCCCTTAGTCCGCTGAGCTATCTCTCTGGCCCATCTTGCTTTCTTCTAATACACAGTTTTAGGTCTTACATTTAGGTTTGTAAAATCAATTTTAGTCAATTTTTGTATGTGATGTGAGACACACAGTATTACTATTATTGGAAAGATCATGGTAACCTCCACTGGCCTTAGAACAACATATATGGGGCACATATTCATATATACACATGTAGATATAATAGATGTATCATATTCCTTTTAATATTATGACATAATTTACCACTAAAATATATTTTATATTATATGATACAATTTACCTTAAAATATGCTAAAATGGTAATAAAACATTTACTTATTTGAAATATATATTGAGAGTCTTTCCTTCCAGGCTCTGTGTCTCAGATATGCACAAGACACAGTTCCCATGGTGCAGAAGGTTACATTCTAGACAGGAAGATAGTGAATGAGCAGAGAAGATGACTGTGGGAACACCTAAAACAATTGCATGATGAAAGTTATAAAAACAAGCAAGATCTGAGGTGGGCCTGGGTAGAGGTGTACTTGAGAAAGTTAATTAAAGTCCTCCCAAAGGAATCAAAGAAACCTCTGCAAGAGTAAGAGGAAGGACCCACCTTGACCTACGGAGCTCCTGAGGAAATGGTGTGCAGGGCAGCATAGGAAAACAAGGGATTGTAGACTAAGGAGGGTGCTAGGGAACAAGGGCAAACTCCATCCTATGCCTGGGTCACGAAGGGCAGATTAGCAAAACCTTATGGACAAGGGACAGCAAAGGGAGCGTGGACATGGTTAGATCTGCATTTGTATATCACAAATGCCTGCCATGTGGAGAACAGATAGGATTTAGGCAGTAGGCTGAATGGAGACTGAATATCAGATGCTAAGTTATTTTTCTAAAAATCTAGGAGTTAAATACGAGTTTGAATATGGATAATGGTGAAGATGAGAAATGAAGGGGTTCCAGATTGAATACGGAACCTCCTCATAGGAGAGAGACAGCAGAGTCCAGGGAACAATGACAAACTTAGCGTCTACAGGCTGAGGCTGTGTGAAGTTGTAGAAAATAACAATGCAGGAAGGGATTCCATCAGGCAAGCCTAAGTGCAAGTGAAAAACCTAGAGGAGCTCAAAGGAGGACCATTAGTGGGTGGAGGGGGACACTGTAGTGAGCTCATTGGGAAGCGGTCCAGCCCTACGAGGGTTCAAACTCAGATCCACCAGTTCCTTGTTCAGTGACCTCAAGTAGAGGTCTTCACTTCTATGTCTGTCTCCAGACACCTGTAAATACAGTACATAGATTGAATTAGTTCATATTTGCAAAGTATTTCGGAAACAGTATGAGCTTAAGAGATGGCTGTTGGTATTAGTCTCTGCATCTGCACTATCCAGATGCAAAAAAATATGACTTAAAGTCTTGAGGAGCCTCCAGGATGTGCTGAGAATGGAATTAAGGAACGCAAAAACTGAGGAGCCCGCGGCGCCCCGCCCCCTCCGCCCCGCCCA